GTTTTGTTAAAACTCCCACATACTCTACACACCACTTCTGAACTGCCCCATCCCCTTTTCCAATTCCTACCTGCTCAAGATCCAGCTGAAATACCACCTTTTCACAAAGGCCTGCCTGCATGCTGATCCATTCAAGCCAACCCTGGTTTCTGCTCTTTCAGACACCACTCAGCAAGTGACATTGGGCGACATATATTTTGGCACTTGGTCATATTTAATTTACAGTGTACTTATATATTATTTGGCTTTGTCTTCTAATTATTTAATGTTTAGAGATCTTGTGTCCCCAGTCAGAGTGTAAAAATTCTTTGAGGGCAAGAACCTTGACTTTCCCCTTACTTCTTCTGCCTCCTCCTCTCATCACTTAGCAGAGTGCTAGCAGTCAGTCACCTTAGATAAATAGAGACTTAAAGGGCATTGCAGAGCCAGGAATTCCCAGATTATTAATCATGCTCAGTTCTTACTATATGGATGCATATCTATACAATACATTACCCCAAATGCAGCATAAATGTGAGCTGATGGTGACTCCCCGCTGGGCTTCTGGGACTGGGAGTCCTTTGAAGACAGATCAGCCAAAGGGCTGCTGTACTCACCCCTCCCAACTGGCAGTACCCATTCCTTGGCCTTCCTTCCTCTCTATCCTCCCTAAAGGAGATTGCTGAGAGATTTACCAGAAGGAAGGAAAGGAGAGCCCGTAGTGGGGCTGGGGAATGAGGGGCTGCTGACAGCACTGAACCCAGTGTGACTGAGCCAGTGACCCACATGACAGGCCAAGCCTTATGTGCTGGCAACCCATACAGTCACACAAGGTCCTGCACCCAAACCTGCGCTTCCTGTCTTCATCTTGAAATTCTTAATAAGTTTTGAACAAGGGACACCAGATTTTTATTTTGCACTAGGCCCCACACATTACATAGCTGGCCCTGCATACATCCACAAAGCCAAAGCCCACACAGATTACAGAGAAAACACAGCCTGAAGTTGAACAGCCTGGGCTCCTTCCTGGCTCTCTGCCACTTATGAGTGATGAGGGATTCGTGGGACAAGTTACCAAACCTCTCTCAACCTGCTCCGAGCTCTGTCTCAGTCTCACCGATTCCTCATCTATAAAGTGCAGGCTCCCCTTTCGTGCTTCCAAGAGGATCAAAAGAGAAATGCAGGGAAAGAGCTTTGTGCAGTGCCTAGCACTCCAAAAATGGTGGCTACTATGAGTGCTACAGTGATCACTGCTGAGACAGGAGATACAGATGGGAGTTGGGAAGGTAAATGGAACTGGGAAGAGCTGGAGGCTTAGTCTGGTGACCAAAGGACTCATACTGGAGGTCCAGAGATCCAGATCCACAGAAACAAGCAGGACCTAAGAGCGCAGGCCTCCCTTCACTATTAACAACTCTTTCCCTCCTTCTAACTTCCTAATCATACCCCTCCTGCCTCGTCAGCGAGGGCCTGTGCTGTATCTCAGGCAATTTTCTTATCATGTCTTGAACATGAACATTGCTTGTCTTTGCTTCTGAAACTCTGCACAAAGCATTTGCTCCTAGAATATCATCCTTCACTCCTCCTTCCCAGCTCATGCCTAACACCTCCTCTGCAAGGTCACCTTTAGCTAGTGCCTTCTCTACCCCATCTCTCTTTGATTCTGGAGCAGCATTATATTGCAGTTGCTCGGGTCTTGCTGAGAGGGAGAGGATGCCATATCTCCATCTAGAAGGTAAATGCCTGAGGCCAGACACCTGAACCTTTTGAAATTCTGCCCACCACATCAGAATGCCTCTCTCCAAAGCATGAACTGTTTTCAAGCCTACTGTCTCCATGCTCAACTTCCATCTTCTTCAAAGATAATGGAATATACCTGCTCTTTCTCACCTTCTCAAAATGAGAGAAGGTTACCACTCTGAGAAGAAGGTTGAAATTCTAAGAAATGGAGTTCCAGAGAACTGCAAGATAATCACTCCTCATAAATACTACTGTCCTCGGCAACGTGGGTAAAGGAAACACCACAATGCAGTAGAAAAATCCCTCAGTAAAAGAGCCAGGACAGCTAGCATCTGAATTCCAGCTCCTGAGCAAGGAACTTCTCCAAATTCAGTTTTGCTGAATTTGGTTCTGAGTTTTGAAGATAGTGCCTGCTTACCCCAGACTGTTTATGGCTGGCCCCTCCAAGATACCTGGGGCAGAGATTTTATTATTTTTCCATTTATGAGTGAAGGAAATGGAGCTGGTTCTAAGCAAAACTGTCAAGTTCTGGAAACTGTTCAGCAGTCCTCTTTCCAATTCTTTTAGGCCAGATCCCTTCTACCCTTTTCCATTAATTCAGTGGGAGGAGAGGAGAGGGCCTCCCCTCTCAAATATTTTTCTAATTTTTTTCATTTAAACATGAAATAATTTGAATGGTAGACTCCATTTTTACAGGAGTGAGGTGACTTTTAGTCAACTGCCTTTCCCAGGTCAATTGAATATTGAGCATTTAATCAGTAACAATGATGGGTGATTCATTTTATTCCTCATTCTAATAATTATCTCTGAGAATATTTTGATGGAGATCATGGGGAGCCCTTTTTATCCCTGAAGTTCCCTTGTACCCACTCAAAAAAACTGTAAATAAACCTTACTTGGTCATTTTGCTCTGTTATCTATAGCTATATAATAAACTACCCCCAAATTTAGCCGCCTAAAACAGAAACCAGTTTATTGTAAATTACAATTTTGTAGGTCAGGAATTTGGACAGGGCTCAGATGGATGATTCTTTTGCTCTACAAGGCACTGACTGGACTAACCCAGTGGCATTCAGCTGGTGGCTCAGCTAGGCTGGACAGTCCAAGATGGCTTTGCTTATAAGTCTTCCACCTTGCCTAAAGTGGCAAGAAGGCTGAACTCATCTGGGTACTTCTCCTTTTTCATGTAGTCTCAGGGTCTGTTTCTGTAGTAGGGAGATCAAACTTCTTAGACAGCAGCTCAAGAGTTACAAAAGAGCAAGGTGGGAGCTGAAAATACTCTTAAAGACTAGGCCTAGAACTCAGACAATGTCACTTCTGCTGTATTCTACTGGACAAAGCAGTCAGAGGCCAGCCAAAATTCAGGAAAGGGGATATATATCCCACCTCTCAAGGGAGGCATGTCGAATAATTTATGGCCCTCTTTTAACCCACCACACACGGTAACTTGATGGGGACTCAGGAGGAAAGACGTGAGAGAAAAAGGAAGATGCCTGGGATAATGAAGAGTTTCTTGATGTGATGGTTGAACTTTCAGACTTGGCTGAGGTCCCTAAAAGAAGGTATTAAACACCTCAGTCTCCCAGCTATCTCCCCTTTCTACATCCCAGATCTAGCTTGGCCTGGTCAGAACTCAGAAATTGTCCTCAATGGATAATCCAAAATCCAGCCCACTGTCTGGAACCCATTCTACCCAAACACCTAACCCTCTTCTGAGATCCTCTACTCCCCATCTTCAAACAACTTCTGTCTTCTCCTTTTGCCCAAAGGAATCCAGATCCTTCTCCTGCAAGCCTAACTGTCTCCCATGACTGGTTTCTCTAACAATATGGTCACCTTCCATTTAAGGGGCACTTACTTTGTACCAGGGTCCGTGCTAAGTGCTTTATATGTGTTAATACATTTTCTCCTTGCCAGAAAATATTACTCTTATTTTACAAAAGAGGAACCTGAGACCCAGAGAGATATGCAACACATCCAAGCTCAAGTGGTCCAATTCAAAAGTCCAGGCTTTAAGCCTGATGCTATACATCTTCTCATGTAATTTTCTACTATGATTTAAATGAACTACTCACGTGCTTATGCCTGGACCTTATATCCTAGGCCCCCTACAAACAGTGTTCGGGGGTTAGAAGCCCCTCAAAATGCTGTCAAGGACTTCTTTAGATTGCAGGGGAAGGAAGGAGGAAACTCAAGGACCCTAAATCCTTAAAAGAGGGAATGCGAGAAATCTCTGTTGAAAACTTATCGTCAAGATTTTTGTCTTAATTTATGTCACAGTGCGTGGGTGGTGGTGAGGATAGATGTGTCCATGATATCACAGAAATCTGGTTACAGAGAGGTAAAAGAGAACTAATTCAGCAGGAAGAATGAAAACAGAACAGTTCATCTGGCAATAATAAAAGCACCGTAGTTACACCCGCTTAACTGTAAGTTAAGCTCTGACAACCTCAATTCTGTGGAATGCAGCACCAAATCCGGAAGTGAAAAAGGTCTTTAAGCACCAAAAATAACTGACATGAATTGAACCAAAGCCAGGTCCTTAGGCCTACACAGGGAGCCTTAGTGGGTTACATTGGAGAAAATATTTAAGATTTTTGACCTCTGGCTTCCTAGCCCATGACCCTTGAAGAGCAAGGTGGGGTGTGAGTGAAAGGCCCTCTAGAGAAGGAAGCATTTTGAGAGCAAAGGGATGCCAAACAACCTCAAAGATTTGCTTTCGAAGCAAAAGACAATAGGACTTAGAAGTAGACAAGCATTGTGTTACATGTCACTTCAGCTTAGAAAAAGTATCCTAACATTTCACTGGATGGTGCCTGGTGCCTTAGCAAGCCCTTTCCCACACAGAGAAACGGGCAGCCAGGGATGAAACAAATACTCAGAGAGGCTTAGTGACTTTTATGTGACTGTGCAGATTAGTGAGTGGCGGAGCTGGAACTAAACCCAGACTGCATGATGTCTAACACAAAATCTTTTCCTCTATACCATGATTTTGCCCTTTGCTTTATACCATCATGCCTCCTTTTTTCATAATGATGACCATGAGTCATCAAGAAAAGGTTAGTTTATGTCTGGTAAACTCTGCGGAAGAAAACAGGGAAGTGGATAGTATATTTTTTAATAAAGTTTTCATTAAAAATTATAAAAATGGTTTAGCATTCAGGATAAAGTTCAACTTTCTGTTCTCAGCTACATTATAAATTATAGTCCTTTACCTTTTATACCTAATTTGCCATACAGCACAATAATGTTCATATGCAACATCTTCAAAATATGCCTTGTGAATTTTTTAGAATCAGTCATTCCTTTCTCTCTCCATTCTACTGCCTTGATTCTGTTTCCTCCTCTCTCTCCTAAATGCTCATAAAATTTCTGGTTGGAATCCTGCCTCCAATTTTGATCCCTTAAATTTATCTTCCATTCACATAATTCTGATCAAGCCAGTACAGAAAAAAGTCACAGCTCTTTAGCAGCAACCGAGGTCTCACTCCATTATCCAACTCCTGCCAACCTCCGCAGCCTGGTGTCTTGCCACTCTCAGCTCCACACTTGAGTTTCCTACAGCACCCAAAGGTTACAAAGGCTTGTAACTAAGTTTCTCTCACATATCTGGTATTCTCTGCTCTTGTTATTATCCTCTCCACCTGAAATGCCCTTTGTCCAGTCCTTTATTTGATTAATTCCTGCACATCTTTAAAGATCCAAGCTTAATTGTCATCTAGACGCCTCTTCTTGGTGTCCCTGCAATACCACAATGTCTGTATCCTTGCTTGTATCAATTAGGATGCTTGTGGTTGTGAGTAACAGAACTCCCACACCTAAAGCAACTGAAACAATAGTGACTTATTATCTCTTCACAAGAAGTCTGAAAGTAGATGATTCCAGGGTTGGCTTTGTGATATGACGGTTCTAAGCTTCTGTGCAATTCTCTCAGCCCTTCTGCAGAATGGCTGCAGCCGTTCCAAACTCACGTAACAACATTTAAAACCAGGAAAGATGTATTCACTTGTTAAAGCTACCATATCAAAGTACCATAGAGTGGATGACTTAAGCAACAGAAATTTTATTTTCTCACAGTTCTGGAGGTTAGAAGTCCAAGATCCAAGTGTTGGCAGGATTGGCTCCTTCAGACGTCTCTTTCCTTGGCTTATAGATGGCCTCTTGCTGTGTCCTCACGTGTCTTCCTCTGTTGAATGTCCATGTTCCAATGCCCTCTTCCTACAAGAATACATACCGGATTAGGTTCCACCCTAATGGCCTTATTTTAACCTAATTACCTCTTTAAAGACCATATCTCCAAATATAGTCACATTCTGAGGTAGTGGGAGTTAGGACTCGGATAAATGAATTCTAAGAGAACACAATTCAGCCCATAACAGGAGACTCAGGATTGGGAGTTCCTCTCTGTTTTCAGGTGAAAAATCTTTCCTAAAATCCTTCCAGCAGACTGACCAGAATTTGGTAACCTGCCCTTTTGCTGGTTACAAGGAAAGTTAGAAAAGCATTCTCACTTTTATAATGGGAAGAGGGCTGGGAATGACTACTGGGTGGGTTACTAAACCATTGAACTCTGCTTCCAAATTGGGTCATAGTTGTCTGCTTATGTGTCTATCCTTCCCATTAGCTCTTTGAAGCAGAGATCAGTGTTTCAATCATCTGTATACCCCCAGCAAAGCACTGTGCCTGGCTCATAGTAGCTTCTCAACCAGTATCTGTTGAAGGAATGCACAAATAGAATTTAATGAACTAGATGAACCTGTTTGTGTTATATTTGATTACATTAAACTTGGTTCGCGTGTTTACTTTGTTCATATGGTTTGGCTTTCATAACATATGAACACCTTTAATATTTAAGTTCATTTAAAACTATCATTCACAACTTTAAGAGACTGCAGGGAGTACTGCTAATAGAACTGCTATTACGATAAGAGGAGACCAAATTCTGTAAGCTTTGTCTTCCCAAAATCTGGCATAGTGAATGGCACACAGTAGCTTCTGTATGAATTTTTGTGGAATGAATAAATAATGGATGAATTAATCATTAAAATGTTTTTAAATGCTTTGAAAAATATTAGTATACAAATCTAAGGAGTTACTGCATTTTCTAGAAAAACATCTTCCAGAACTGGGCATCCCTTCTGTTCTGTTGGTACTTGCAAAGATGGTGTGTCAGCAAGTATTTATATCACCATTTATATTCTTTTTTTTTTCTTTTTTTGAGACAAAGTATCGCTCTTGTTACCCAGGCTGGAGTGCAATGGCGCGATCTCAGCTCACCGCAACCTCCGCCTCCTGGGTTCAGGCAATTCTCCTGCCTCAGCCTCCTGAGTAGCTGGGATTACAGGCACGCGCCACCATGCTCAGCTAATTTTTTTGTATTTTTAGTAGAGACGGAGTTTCACCATGTTGACCGGGATGGTCTTGATCTCTCGACCTCGTGATCCACCCGTCTCGGCCTCCCAAAGTGCTGGGTTTACAGGCTTGAGCCACCGAGCCCGGCCGCCATTTATATTCTAACAAAGAATAATCCTGGCTGGGCAAAGTGGCTCGCTCCTATAATCCCAAAACTTTAGGATGCCAAGGAGGGGGGACTGTTTGAGTCCAGAGGTTTAAGACCAGCCTGAGATCTCATTTATATATATATATATATATATATATATATATATATATATATATATACATATTATATATATATATATGATTGTATAATTTGATAGACTACTTGGAGCAAGCATGAAAACAACTTCTTCGGAATACATTAAAACACCAATGTTAAATTATCCTAAATGGAATATCCACATGAAGCACTGCTGGATTCTAGTATGAGTCACTTTTGCTCCACAAAACCCCACATATCTGACCTTCCATGTTCTACAGAATAGGGAAGAACCAAGAGCCTAACTAATGAGTGTCACTGGTTGTGAGGTCAAGTTAACTGATTTGGTTGTTCCCCAAATTCTGACTACCTTCCTAATGTTAGAGATTCTCATGATTTGCATTGAATTCCTACTTCTATCTCTTCTGTATCAAGTTGAGAGGACACAGGCAGGTAAGGTGTGAATTACATGGAGTAAATGAGAAGTTGGGGAGGCAAAAATCAGTTCCCGCAACTGGGTTTCCACTGGCAGTATATTTTGGCACCGTAAGACAAACTGTGTAACTGAGAGTTGAGTCTTCGCTAGCCCTGTTTCAGACCCAAGGGACCCATGCCTCCCACACACAGTTCAATTAATGAGGTTTAATTAAAACATTCAGGTTCAATTTGTGTTTCAGGGCTTCAGGGGCAGTCTCAGGGCAAAATACTTTCCACAAGGAACTTAAGAGAAACTAGCCCTGCTGTGGACCAGACTGGCATGCAGGGGCAGGAGAAGACTTGGTCTGCAACCAACATCTGCATAATGGAGAAGCTGGACAAGATGGCACTTGTGTGTGTCTGTGCTTCTGCAGGGCCTGTTCTCTGTGCCCCAGGTGCTTTCCTAAGTGCCAGGAGAAGGAGGTGCATGCTAGGGTGTTTTCCTCACAAGTTTTCAGTTTTTCTTCTTTCCTTAAAGTATTGGCACCCCAGATTTTTGCTATGAAATCAAGACCTGTTGCTATAATGATGGTGAGTTTCTAAGTATTGTGCCAATGAACCTGGTCCTCACACATTATTGCAAGCACCTTAGCCAAGCCCATTACAATAATCTATTGTTGAGAGAAATATATCCTGGCAATACATGTATCTAGAAGTTCCGCCTTCTGAACTGATGCCAAAATATGATAGATGCCCAGTTCCTTATGATTTCCAACTACTGTACATGAACTCCCACCTCCCGCTCCCCGCTGCCAACATAATGACTAGGTTACTTTGATGTTCTCTGCTTTCCACAGCGGCTTTAACTCTCTGCCAGAGTTTCACGCACTAAGCACTCTGCTATTTGGAATCTCATTACCTGCAACACTAGTGACTGGCATCCCACAGATCAAAGGCACAATAATTCATGAGACACTGCACGATCCTGCCGTGACTTCTGAACCATTCTGAAAATATTTGATTCCATTTAGGATAATTTAACATTGGTGTTTTAATGTATTCCGAAGAAGTTGTTTTCATGCTTGCTCCAAATAGTCTATCAAATTATACAATCATACATTCTAATAAATTCAGATGATATAGACAACTGGAATGAATAACAGATAAAACTAACAAAATAAAATTGACTGGAATTAATGTAATTGATGTAAAATGTCTGGCATTTAGGTTTATATACTACTTAACAGAAGAGGCCTGGGTTAACAGTCCTTATAAGAAAGCCATCAGGAGTCTGACTACAAACTCAGCAATGTACTATGATCTCCGAAACATTCAATCCTATCCAAGGCTATCTTTAAAAAAAAAAAAAAAAAAAAAAGTATCCGGGTCAAGGAGGGAAGAGTTTCACTCTATACTTTGCTAGTCAGGCCAGGTCTGTGGAGGACTGTGTTTGGTTATGGAAGCCACATTGTAAGAGGAAAGGAACTAAGGATGAGGATGTTTCTTCTGGCAACTCTGTCATAATACTTGTCTTCAAATAGTTGATGGGTTGTCACATGGAAGAAACATTAAATGTAATTACACTAAATTTAATCACAGCACCACAGCAGGAGTCATGTGCAGAGTCCATGGAAGACGGTTCAGCTCTATATAAGAACTTTCTACAAATTAGGGTGATCTAAGCATTTAACTTGGATGAAATCCAGGAGAGGCAAAAGAAGACTTCTGGGCCATGGTAAATTTGATTATTTGCCTAGGTGGCAGGTACTTAAGTGTTTTATTATTTTCCTTCAACTGATCCATACCATTTTTATATACTCTTTGTAGGTATATTTTATGATGAAAAACATTGACTAGTTTGCTGAGCAAAGAAATGACATCATCATGTGGCTTCAAGGAGAGGCTGGTGGCAACTGCATGAGAGGATGAGATAGACGACCTGTGACATTGACTGCATCTCTAAGATTCTACAAGTCCATAGATGCATGGGTAATTACGAAAGCAAAGTTCATCTAAAATGTTCTTTAAGTGACAGTCTTTTAATTAACTTGATTTGAAGCCTCACTCCACTGTTCACTATAACCATTACTGGCAGTTGTTAGACTATGATCCCTATGTCTCTATTATAGTAAATACTTTTATTGGTCACTACATACTGATAGACACAGCCTCTGTCCTCTTAGGATGACAAATGATATGGACAGTCATAAAGAAAACACAATGAGAGCCAGATATGAACAGTAAATAAATACAAAAGAAAGCAAAAAGGTTTATGTGGTAAACAGGTCAAGGTTTCTGGTATTATAAGTGTGGGAAACAAATGCCAGACCTTGGAAAACACACCCTAGATAAGTTAAGACCAGAAGAAGCTAGCTCTCTGCTCCTATTATCTTAGCGAGCTTCCTGGAATAAGCAAGCCTTCAGAAATACAGATTCCAGCCGTCACATTTGGTCAGGGGAATCTTTCTCCTGGGCTGCCAGCAGGAAGGGGGGTGTCAGCAAAATAGTTTAAATGGTCATTTCCTCATGTTAATCCTGTCTCCCATTCTGTTCCTTCGTGATCTCTCACTACCCTCTCCCCTGCACTGATTTGAGAGAGGGGAACCAACACCTGAAAAAGGGAAATGAGAGGAAGGGGTATTTGTGGACTATGATGGACGTGGAATTGGGGAGAGTCCTTGAGTCCCCAAGTCACTGCTAAATAAACATTCAGGCTCTCTGCTCCTGGTTGAGCTGTAACTTCGGGCAAAGTTACTTCTGCTTTGGACTCATTTAACCTTTAGTCTGGGGATCCCCAATCATGTTACTGACATTAATTCCTCTATCCTCACAACAACCTTGAGTTGACGGGAAAAGTAAACCAAAACACAAGATCTTATGAGTTTGTGGAGTCCAATGTGGTAAAATGCAAATAATAAAGTTTTCTTTCCTATAAGAATTTATCTTCACTTTACTGAAGGGGAAACTGAGTCACAAAGGGTGCAAATAAATCAATTTCATATTTTCACTTCACTCTTTTACTTCATCAATAATGTTTTATACTGTTTTTCCTTCTGGAAATCCTTATTATGGATCTTCTGGATGGGGAAACTGAAGCACAAAGTGATTACAATGTATCGCCTCAAGCTAGGACTCATAAAACAGTTCCTAGATAAGAAACTCCAGAACCTAAGTTCTAAAAAAGAATTTTTGTCCTGAGAATTAGATTGCTATCCAAATCTGAAACATTAAATCCCCACTCAAAGTTTGTGAAATTAGGTGAAAACTGCTGTAAAGTTTGAGTTGCTGATACTAAGAACAGTGCGAGGTCTGGGATGGCAGCAAGAGTGACCATCCTTGAGCTTTGTAAAGGCTTTCAGGGTTTACAAGCCCTTCACAGCTGCTATTACATTCTGTCCTTCTCAGGGACATTAATAGCGTCTCTTTTTAGAGATGAGAGGCTGAATCTCAGACATCAGTGGCTTGTCAGAGAATAGAGTTAGCAAAGGACAGAACCGGGACTAAAACTCAGGTCTTCTGAATTCAAGTTTAGTGAAAACAAACTGGGGGAAAGGGCACCAGCCTTTTACCGGGAGACTTAGGTGGAGACTGAGGGAGGACTGAGGGAGAAGGCAGAAGCACATCAGCACATATGATAGCAGAGAAGGAAACTGTCATCATTAAACATCTCAAATGATAACATGGAACTGCTCTGGGCAGTGTGGGGACCTACTGACTGTGGCTGTAACCCCTGAGGGCCTACAATCTAAGACAAACACACTAGGAAGAACAAATACTTCTATGGCATACGGATGCTAGAATAACACAGTCTCTACTACAAGAATAGAGAAGAAAGCATTTACATCACATACGTGTTCAGTTTAGTTCAGGGTGTGGAGAACATAAATGAAAACGAGAGCAATAAAGAAGCACAAGCCAGGGAAGAAACACACACACTCATACACACCAATCCAGAAAGGTTTTTCCAAAGAAAAATAATTCTAGGAATTATTTGCTTTCTCTTTTTTTAAGAAGCAGTGAATGGCTGTGTTGTGGTGACAGTGGAATTGAGAACTTGAGGTCTGGAACAGAAACTTATCCTAGACATACGGAACAATTACCAAGATGGGTGGGAAGCAGGTAGGAAGGTAATGTCAGTGGACAAAGACAGCTTTGAGCAAGTGGAAATTCAAGAGTGATTACAACCTGTCTTGACTCTTACGAGCTAAGTGTCGAAGTGTTTCCACCCCCACGCTTTCAGAAAGCTCATGCTCTCCCTATTTCAGGAACATGAAGAATCTCCATGTTATGAAAACCTGTTTGCAGCAGATGGAGAAGGCAGCAGTGCCATGGTGAAGGAAACAGTGGATAGGGACCTTGGGTATGCTGGGCCAGAAGTCCCTAGCCATCTGAATGTCCCCAGATCCTACCACCACACGAGAGGATCCCAGCCACAACTCATTTATTCAGACCCACTAATTACTAGGGAATTTCCAGTTTGCTTCATCAAACCCAAATTCACCTTTTGAGTTTCAAGCCAGTAATTAGATTCTTAATGTAAAAACTATTGAGTTCTGCTGGAATATAAACATTTCTCAATATATCTATTTAGACTCCAGCCAGGTAAAGAGACTTGTTTATCTCTGCTAATTGTGTTTACTCGAGACATTCTTTGTGACCTTAATTAGTCAGAGAAGCAGCAGCAGAGAACCCTAGGAGTCTGGCTTGAGTGAAAATATGCAGAAAGGGTCCCTATACTCTGACTTCTGGCCCTTCGTAGAGCACAGGGTCCTTGGAGTCAACCTTGCTGGCTCTAACCATAGCCATTTGAGCTATGAGCCAAAAATGAGCAATTTCAGACTTTCAGAAAAAACTGCTCATTCTCGATCACCCTGGTTTCTGAGTTGTAACAATTACTAAGATTTGCATGGGTAGTATGAGAAATTGAGGATTCTCATAATTTTTTTTTTTTTTTTTAGACGGAGTTTCGCTCTTGTTACCCAGGCTGGAGTGCAATGGCGCGATCTCGGCTCACCGCAACCTCCGCCTCCTGGGTTCAGGCAATTCTCCTGCCTCAGCCTCCTGAGTAGCTGGGATTACAGGCACGTGCCACCATGCCCAGCTAATTTTTTGAATTTTTAGTAGAGACGGGGTTTCACCATGTTGACCGGGATGGTCTCGATCTCTTGACCTCGTGATCCACCTGCCTCGGCCTCCCAAAGTGCTGGGATTACAGGTTTGAGCCACCGCGCCTGGCTATAATTCTTATGATTATTATCTTTGCCAACATTTTTCATCTGCCATACTTAAAATATGCCATTCTCTGCTCTAACCACTCTACACATATTAACACAGCTAATAACAACACTCACGAGTAGATACTATAGGTATCATGTTCACATAGATGAGGAACTGACACAGAGAAGTCACTTAATTAAGGTCACAAAGCTAGTGCATGAAGGCACAAGGACTTCATTTAGCTAAACTCCAATATTTTAAAGGACTGTTCTAACAAACATCTGACATCTACATGTAAGATGCTGTTCTAGTTACTATACAGAAGATGCAAAGAATACATAGTTCCTACAAAGAGCAAACGGACTAGTTAGAGATATCGGTAACCGTCTCTGTGGTGTTTAAGTTTTGCTCCTTATTTTGTTCAACTACATGTAGGAATTTCTAAATTAGAAAAGATCTAACAATGTTAGTCCAGAGGGAGCCAATTTACTGGTAATTTATGAAGAGCTAGATAACGACTAGTAGCATATTCAAAACTGGAAGCAACTTTTATAACAACTAGTATTTCCGAGTTCCATGTGGCTGACGCGATGCAAAGGTCTTATCAAAGCAGTGGTACAAAGTTTTGTTTTGATCCATTTGATCAAAACTGATCTTCAATTCTCCTTCAACCCCATCTCTCTTCTTCACCTCCCCCACCCTAGTATTTATTCTAAATTCCTTAACCTTTATTGATCCCCACTCCTCCCTTTCTTCTGCCTCTGGAGTGAAACCATGCCTGGACACCACTCATTACAGGGGTGGGACTGGAAATAAAGCTTAACTGCTTGAGATTCTTTATCCTTAATGAGCCTTTAAAGAAGAAAAAGAGGCCAGGAGCGGAGGCTCACTCCTATAACCTGATCACTTTGGAAGGCCGAGGCGGGCGGATCACGAAGTTAAGATCGAGACCATCCTGGCTAACACGGTGAAACCCCGTCTCTACTAAAAATACAAAAAATTAGCCAGGCGTGGTGGAGGGCGCCTGTAGTCTCAGCTACTCGGGAGGCTGAGGCAGCCTTGAACCCGGGAGGCGGAGGCTGCAGAGAGCCGAGATAGCGCCACTTGCTCTCCAGCCTGGGCGACACAGTGAGACTCCGTTAAAAAAAAAAAAAAGGCCGGGCGCGGTGGCTCAAGCCTGTAATCCCAGCACTTTGGGAGGCCGAGGCGGGTGGATCACGAGGTCAAGAGATCGAGACCATCCTGGTCAACATGGTGAAACCCTGTCTCTAGTAAAAATACAAAAAAAAAAAAAAAAAAAAAAAAAAAAAAAAAAAAAGCTGGGCATGGTGGCGCGTGCCTGTAATCCCAGCTACTCAGGAGGCTGAGGCAGGAGAATTGCCTGAACCCAGGAGGCGGAGGTTGCGGTGAGCCGAGATCGCGCCATTGCACTCCAGCCTGGGTAACAAGAGCGAAACTCCGTCTCAAAAAAAAAGAAAGAAAGAAAAAGAAAAAGAAAACATGCTTTGGGCATGTATTTGTAATTGCCCGAGCAAGAACAAAAGGTAAAAGAAAAAGGGGACATGGGCGTTAATGACTTTGGGAGAGGACTCGCACGCTGCTTAGACTGGGACGAATGGAGACTAAACGCAGTGGGCTGGGAACTAGCGGGGAAGCGGTCATACTCCCCAGCCTCCCCGGGGAGAAAATGCCAAAGCGAGGTGCTTCAGAGAAAGCTCTGCGGTTTCTTTCTTACGTATATGAAAGGGCCCTTTCTTAGAGGGTAGGGAAGTGCGTCTGAAGTCTGCGGGTCCCGTCTTCCCATTGTGAGGGATCCCCTCTCTGGGAGGTCGCACGGCCCTCTTCTGGAGAAAGAGGGGCCGCCTCTCTGTGGTATGGGCGAGACCGTTCCCCGGCGTCTGGGCCTTCCTGCGGGGTCTGCGAACTCCCTTCCCCCGGCAGGTGGGACCCCGGGGCAGCGCCTCACCCCGTAAAGTCCTTTCGGCCTCACGACGGGGGTTGGGCTGGGGAAGCGTGTTGCAGCCCAGCGCCCCCTCGCGCCGCGTCACCCCTCCGCGTGAGGAGGACCCTGGCCCAGCCGCGGGCAGGGCCGGCGGCCAGCCACGAGCGTGCGTAACGTGCCCCCGCAGCGTGACGCACGGGCCGTGACGGGGCGGATGCGCGGGATGCGCGGCGGGAGGAGTGCGCAGGGGGCGGAGTGCGGGCGGAAGTCGGCGTCTGCTGAAAGGAGAAAGGAAAGGGAGACGCGGCTGGGTGCGGTGAGGTGAGGCTGGGAGCCGGCTGTAGGGCGCCTCCTCCTCCCCCGCCCTCTCTGCTGAGGATGGAAGTGACGAAAGCAGCCGAGGAGGTCACTTCCTGCTGGGGTGGATGAGGAGGAGCCGGAGACGCCGCGGAGGAGACCGGAGCGAAGACGGACCGTGCCGGGGAGAGGTGAGTCCGGCCTCGCGGCGGCTGCTGGGCCCTCTGGGTCGGATCCGGGACCCCGGCGGGGACGGAGTCCCTGGAATCGGGGCCGGCCGCCGGGCTGCGTACCCTGCCGGGCCTCACCTAGTGCGGGGGGCGGGGGAGGGTGGGAGCCCGTGTCTGTCTGAGGGGCGACAGAGACCCAGGGCAGCGTTCATGCCGTGGCCCCGCGCAGCCCTGAGGCCACGGGTTAAGGGAAGCCCGGCCCAGGAGGTGAATGGCAAGAAGGTTCTGGGAGCTGTGGAATCCAGGACCCTGAGCTGCTACGGGCAATCCGCAGCGCCAGACTATGCATGCCTCACTCTTCGGGGAGTGGTCGCGATCGGAAGAAGGGGGTTTGCAGAGTTGAGACGAGTGGCCCTACTCGGATGAAGTGTCCTTGCAAAGAATATGCGAAAGGCGTGCAGAGGCGCCTCGGGGCTCCTGGGAAAGGGACTTTTATGGGGAACATTGGAGAGTGGAGTGTCCAGAGAGGGCTTCCTTGTCAGATCATCGTTGCAACGGGATTTGATCCCCATAGTCATGATGGTTGGAGGGAATTTTATGGCAGTATAAAAGACCTCGCAATCCGACAGCGCATTAGAATGGAGTTAAGAGTTCAGGGTAGCTTCCTGGAGCAGTGGGTGAAATTCATGTTTTTCCTCCCTCATTGTCACTAAAATGGGAGAGGAAGCTCCTGCCTCAGCCCCGGTGCCTTGTTATTGTATATATCGTGTGTGTGTGTGTGTGTGTGTGTGTGTCTGCCTCAGCCCCGGTGCCTTGTTATTGTATATCTCGTGTGTGTGTGTGTGTGTGTGTGTGTGTGTGTGTGTGTGTCTGCCTCAGCCCCGGTGCCTTGTTATTGTATATCTCGTGTGTGTGTGTTCCGTGTCTGTCTTCTCCTTCCTTTGGGGTATTTGCCTCGGTGCCGTGTTATTGTATATCTCCCGTGCGTGTGTGTGTGTATGTTCTGTGTCTGTCTTCTCCTTCCTTTGGGGTACTTATCTTGTCCTCGACTGCTAGTAGTTTTGTCGACTGACACTTGCTGGTCTCCTTAATGTAATTGGTGAGAAAAAAAATATTCAAAAGATCTAGAGGAATCCTAGGTTAGGTGAAAATTCCAAGATAAGGAATTTATCCCTACCCCGGGGGCCACTTAGGCATCTGCATTCCCTCCAGACTGCTGCTAATGTGGATGCTAAGGTCCTGTCATCCACCCTGGAGAAGAGCAAGGGTAGATCTGCCCTCTCCTGCCTCTTTGTCCCTCTGGCAGTTTCACCCCTGACTCCTTTTTGCTAAATGATTGACACAAAGCTGCTTGCTGGGAGGAACAGGAAATTTATTGAGGAACTGTAAATCTGGATGGAATGAATTCAAATCGCAGCAAGACTCCCTCCACTCACTGGCCAGAAGGGCTTCAGAAATGCCTGCTTTTCACCCTTCCTGTTCAATGGAGAAAATGTAGAATTTTTCTCAAAAAAATGTTTGGGTGTTTGTGTGTGTTTCTTGTGTAGAGTAAGTGTACATATGGTGTGTTTACTTCCTGTATCCCAGGGTATTTTTCAAGGGGTTGGGGACAGTTTCTGACTGGGAAGAGTCTTCCTTCTCCCATCTCACATAATTCAGTAAAATAAATCAAAATCAGATGTTCATTCTTGAGTGGGAATCAGATGGATTTGGGTTTTTTTCACACTTTAAACTGGTACATCTGGGTGAACTCAGACTTGTGTATCTTGGCATGTGGGCTTGACTAGTAATGGAAGACAAACTGTTTGACTTGTTTTGGCTGCGTTTTTGGACCTATTTCACTGTACCTTCCTTTTTTATTTTTTATTTTTTTTTTTTTTTACATTTGAAGGGTTGGTCAGGAGGAGGAAAGCAAATATTGAAGACAGTATTTACACTTTGTGGTTTAAAGTCAGGTGAAAGATAATTATGGCTTTTGAAGCTGATGACCTGAGGCCCATCATTTGATAACTTGGGAGTAGCAGTTTGGAGGTGACATGTTTGAAAGAGAGAGAGTTGCATAAGGAAGGAAGAATAGGGAAAGGAAGTTTGGGGAAAGACTGCCAGAAAACTTTGGGAGGATACTAAATAAATAGCAACTTAAAGTAATTGTGTGGCTTGTGTCTCTCAGCAGGAGGGCGAAAATGAAAGCCGGCTGTAGCATGGTGGAAAAGCCAGAAGGAGGTGGAGGTGAGCAGAAGTTAATCATCTCTGATGTACCTGGAAGGTCCCTCAGTGGTTCCTGTTCTCTCCACTTGGGCTCTGTTCACAAATGTCAGACCATGACTGACAGCCTCTTGGCTGGATGAATACTGCCAGAACAGTTGTAGGCTTGTTTCCTATGGATGTATATTTAACATGTCTGGTCACCACACCCATATCCCAAGCTTTAAAGTCTCTTTGCTGTTAGAGACACAGTTCCAACCTTAGGGAAAAGGAGTTTCAGCTATATTTTCGTGAAACATTAGTTTGTCTTTCCTGTTTGTTCCCTTTAGCACTTTCATGTCCTCATAGAAAGTAGGTGTGAAATTTAGTAATGTATGAAAAGGTAAGATGAGGACATCTGGTTGCTGCTGCCCAGCTCTTATCAGATTTAATGATTGCCACAAGGATAGGTGACTTCTCTGTGCTTTCCTCTCCCTATTGTGGTTAGGCCCAGCTGACTGAAAGGGTACTTACAACATGTTTGCAAAGCACTCTAGATTCTTAACAGTGGAATGTGCAGTTGGGGGTGCTGGTATGTATGTACCTAGCTCTTAACTAGCTTAATCTTGCCCTTCTCACCTTAAAGGGTATCAGTTTCCTGACTGGGCCTACAAAACAGAGTCGTCCCCAGGCTCCCGGCAGATCCAGCTGTGGCACTTCATCCTGGAGCTGCTGCAGAAGGAAGAGTTCCGCCATGTCATCGCCTGGCAGCAGGGAGAGTACGGGGAATTTGTCATCAAGGATCCAGATGAGGTGGCCCGCCTCTGGGGCCGCAGGAAATGCAAACCACAGATGAATTATGACAAGCTCAGCCGGGCCCTCAGGTGAGGGAAAGGATTCCCAAATCTGTGTTAACAGATTGGAAGGAGACTAAGCTGGTTGGTGAATGCTAGATAAAAAGGGTATCAGGTAATAAAAGACTACACTATCTTAGTGAATAATGTGTCACTTTAAAGTGGGAGTAGAAGAGCTGTTGAATCTGAGTAGCACAGGCACAGGAGGAGAAAAGGCATATCTTTGGTTATACGTAGGAGGGAATTCCAATGTGGCTGGCACTGGTTGCTGACAGACAGCCGATTCTGCTCTATAGTGGGCGAGAGTATATGGTGAAACATGGATTGAAGCTCATTTATAATCCAAAGGATTAGTTTAGACTTCTCTATTAGAATCTGTTAGAATTTCTTTCTTTGGGATCCCCTGGAAGAAACTTAGAAAAGGGTAAAGAAAGTCACAGGAGGAAGACTCAGTGATGTTGACCTATCTTTATCAGGAACTGTGTCTGTAAACTCAGGTTGTCAGTCCATAGCCTGCTGCAACGTGTCTAAAGATTGATCACTATAAGTTTTCTCAGGTTCTTTTTTCTCCTTGTCAGTCTTAAATTTCATAGCCTGTTAGCCCTCAAGGGGCTAGAAGATAGTTTATGACCTGTGCTACTACATAGATGTAAGACTAAAGGTTCCAGATACATTGAGGTTCTCTTGCCTTTCTTTATTCTTAGTGACCTTACATGTAAAATCTGTGCAGTGGCTTTGCTGTGTTCTTTCACATCCCTTTGAGTCTTTGAAGGTGAGGCAGGCCACACTAGCTGCTGTTTTCCAGATCAGGGAATGCCATTGTTCGACCTGCCACCATAAAACAGTTCTACATTCCTTTGTGTATCTTTTGAGCTTAGCCCTCCAGACTAACCACATCAGGCTAGTGACTTGTGTGCCCCCACCAGGGCAAGACGGAAAAGAGAAGCCAAGCAGTTAGTGGCGTGCAGTACAACCGGAAGGAAATGGACTGTAGAATTGAAATTGTGGAGAGATGGAGAAGAAAGTGTTTGGGGCTAGTTGTTCAGAATCTTAAAGCAAAGTTGTCTTTGTAAAGCTCTAGGCAAAAACTAGAGCTGAGTTGAAAATCGAGTGAGAAAATTAAGCTCTTCGGTTTCCTAGATCGACCTGGAGGGTCAGGCTACAAAAAATTGGTAGTTATTTTTGTAAGTAATACTTAGAGCAAGAATTGTTGGCCTCAGTGGCTGCGTAAGTGTATCAAAAGCTTTCAGTAGCTGCAAGACAAATTGACATGCATTCCTGTTTTTACAGATACTATTACAACAAGAGGATCCTTCATAAAACAAAAGGGAAAAGATTTACCTATAAATTTAACTTCAACAAGCTGGTGATGCCCAACTACCCATTCATCAATATTCGGTCAAGTGGTAAGATACAGACTCCCTTGGTAGGGAATTAATTTTGAGTGAAAAGAATTTTTAAAAATCCAAATCTAAGACATGGCATGTTATGGGAGATTTTAGAAACACTAAAATAATGTGATCCTTTGGATTGCCTCATTGTTCTTGCTCAAGTCTTCTCATTCATCTCACTCATAAAGAGAGTAATAGGCTATGCATTATCAAGATAGATTCCTTTGGTTTATTTGGTTGGTTACCTTTTCTGCATATTATTTGTAATCTAGATACTATTACACTATCTTGTTTGGGAATGATGTTTCATGGGTTTGTGATGATCTTTAAGTTCAGGACTCAGTTTTAACACCCAGCCCAATGGTTCTTTCATAGATGGGAACCTGTTTCTACAAACATTTCCGATTTTCTGTGAAACTACCAAACTCTCCCTTATCAAGTGAATATCATCAAAACCACAGCATCCTTGATCAGAGAAGGGGGAGGTTCACATGTTTGCAGTGAAAAGCTGTATCTTTGATCTGCACCAGCAAATCCTCAGAGAACAATTTTCTGGGGTTACTTGACCTTCTCTCCTGTTAAGTGCAGTAGGGCTTCCCCTCTTGACTCTCCTGGTTATAGCTTTCCATCACAGCTCACCACTTTCTCTCTTGATATTTAAAGCAGTCTCTCAAAAGGCTTTGTTGTTGTGTTTTTTTGTTTGTGATTTTTTTCTATATGCAAATCATACTCCTGCCCAGGAAAATACAGTAGTTCCCCCGTATCTGAGGAGTATATGTTCTAAGACCCCTAGTGGATTCCCAAACCATAGACAGCACCAAACTCCATTCATATATTTGATGTTTTTTCCTCCCTTAACCCCACTCATATATCTGTGATAAGGTTTAATTTATAAATTATGTACAGTAAGAGATTAACAACAATAATAAAATAGAAAAATTATAACTATGCTCTAATAAAATTATGTGAATGTGGTCTTTCTTAAAATACCTTTGTGTACTGTACTCACCTATTTTCAGACCTCTGTGGTTAACTAAAACAGTGGGAAGCAAAACCTCAGATAAGAGAGGACTACTGTAGATTGTATTTAACTGTTTTCTGACCAGTCCATCAATAAGTACTCTGTCATTGTGGCTTTGTATGCTAAGG